TGGGCCAGGCTTCACGGGGCCCTGTTGACAGCCTGAACCCGTTTGCCACCATGCCTGCAGGCTCGCGCTGTATGTCTATGAGTACCTGCTGCACATCGGGGCCCAGAAGTCAGCGCAGACCTTTCTGTCTGAGGTGAGTGAGCCTCTGTCCTCTCTGGTCCCCCAGCCCACCCCCGCCCCGCCCCGCGTTGGACAGCTTGTTCCTGGCAGGGTCGCTGGGTTCCTCCAGGGTGCCTGTCCTCACTGCCTCCCCCACAGATCCGCTGGGAGAAGAACATCACCCTGGGTGAGCCTCCTGGCTTCCTGCACTCCTGGTGGTGGTATGTGCCTGAGCTGGGGGGAGGGGGGAGGGAGCTTTGGGGGTATGAGGGATCAATGTGTTCTCTCCGCTGCCCACAGCGTCTTCTGGGACCTGTATTGTGCGGCACCAGACCGCAGGGAAGCCTGTGAACACCCCAGCGAGGCCAAAGTCTTCCAGGACTACGTGAGTCTCCAGGGGCCTGGATTCTGGGCCACTTCATTTGTTCGTGTTTGTTTTGAGCCGGGGTCTGTGTGTAGCTCTGTAGACCAGGCTGGCCTCGAACTCACAGAGCTCCACCTGCCCCTGCCTCCTGAGTGCTGGGATGAAAGGCGTGCGTCATTATGCTCTTTATTATTTTTGAAAATAATTTTTATTTCATGCGTATGAGTGTTTTGCCTGCGTGTGTGCCTATGCGCCGCGTGGCGCCTGGTGCCTGTGGAGGCCGGAAGAGGACATCAGATCCCCCGGAACTGAGGTCACAGAGGCTTGTGAGCCGTGGCTCCTCTGGTAGAGCAGCCAGTGCTCTTAGCCCTCCTCCCCCCGCCAGCCATCTAGTCAGCCCCCTGGATTTTTTTGTTTTGTTTAAAACGGTCTCACTAAGTAGTCCTGGTTAGCCTGGAACTCCTATGTAGACCAGGCTGGCCTAGAACTCACAGAGGTCTCTTTGCCTCCGCCTCTGGGATGTAGGGTTAAAAGCGTAGCTACTCCCTGGTCTCAGTTTCCCTTTGGCAGAGTGGGCGCCAGACAGGCCCTGGTCCTCGCGCCCCGCCCCCGCCCGCCCCTCTCAGTGCCGGGGCGCAGGTTGCCATGGCAGCATGGGCGTCGGAGGGGCGGGGCCAGAGCAAGCAGGTCCTAGGCTCCGGTGCCTCCAGCCCGGACCTTGGCGTCTCCTGGAAACGCGAGCGCGCCCTGCCCGTCGTCATGGTAACGCGGGCGGGTGCCGGTGGTGCTGGGGGATGATTGACGGGGCGGGGGCGGGGAGAGTTCCCGCTCAGGCTGCCCTCCCGCAGTGCCGGTCTGGTCTGCTGTGAAGGGCTTGGGCATTGGGGATATGCCAGGTGTTGGGGGCTCTGGCCGTAATCATTGTGATTACAGTGATTGTGTGTGTGTGTGGGGGGCTTGCCAGTGCGCTGTCTCTGTGGGCTCCTGTCACTTATTCCCTGGAGCTAGACCAGAGTCTCAACTAGAGTCTTGCAGCGACCTCTGAGAGTGGCAAGACAAGGTTAGCAGGGACCTGGCTCTGAGCATTCCAGAGGTCAAGCCAGGAACCTCCAGCGTCATAAGCATTTCTCTGCTAGCCAGCTCCGCACCAGGGGCACGTGTCCACCGCCTGGGAAGACCATGAGATGAGTGGGTCGGCAGAAAGGGCCCCTTCTCCATCCCGACCCCAGGCTGGGCCTCTCTCCCCCTCCTGCTTCCTGCCCTGTGTCGCCAGCACGGGAGCAGGCAGCAGAGTGGCCTGGGAGGGCTCCCGGACTTGGCCTGTCAAGCCTGGTCCCTGACCACCGGAGTCCCTGTCCTCCCCCGGGGGCGCGTGCGCGGTGCAGGACCAGGAAGGAAGGGGCCCTTGCTCGGGACCGACGGCATGTATTTGGTTGTGGGTCGGCAGAGTGCCACCCTGCCCCCAGGACACAGGCCTGTCAGGTGAGGGGCCGCAGCGGTGTGGGGTGTGGCTGCTGGCCCCCCACCTCAGCCTCCCCTTTCTCTAGTCCAGCTTGACTGGTGACAGCGGCCCCCGGCTGTCTGCGGAGATGAAGAGAAAGTCACCGGCGTGGCTCTCCCCATCCTCGCATCTCCTCTCCTTGCAGAGCACAGCCGCAGCCCCCAGCCCTGTGATGGGCACCATGGCCCCGAATGACGCAATGGCGGCGGGTCCTCTGGCACCCGGCTTCTTTCAGGTATGGCTGCCTGGGGCTCCTTTGTCTCCATAGTTGAGGTAGGGTAGGCTGCAGGCTAGAATTCGGTGGAAGGGTTGTCACCACAGCGGGGTGAACATGCATGCACCTTGTCACACAGCCAGTGACGGCCGGGGGTCCGTGGACCCTCCATGCCGTCTCCTGCTACAGGCTGTGCCTCCGTTCTCTCCCAAGCCCTAGTGACGGCCCCGAGGCCAGGTAGTGGCCCTCACACAAGCTGGCACCTGTGCCAGCTGCCTGTGGTCTGCAGTCTGGCTCTGCAGCAGGGGGCTAGTAAGATTGGAGGCCCCCCTCCCCCGGCATAGTAAGAACAGGGTTTCTTACAAGTTGAAGGTTCCTGACTCCCATTTACCTCTTCCAGCCCTTCATGTCACCACGGTTCCCAGGGAGCGCCCGGTCAACCTTAAGGATGCCAGGCCAGGTGAGAGAGGGTGCTCAGAGCAAGGCTGCCAGGGGTGGGGGGCAGCGGGGGGGCGTGTCCCCCAACTCAGTGCCGTGCTCCACCCCACAGACTCCTGTCGGCCTCCCTGGCTCGCAGCCCCTCATCGCTGGTGCCATGGACCCCTCCCCCCGTGCACAGGGTGAGTGACGGACACTTCAGTGCTGTTCCACAGGACCCATCCGTCCTTGCAGCTTTGGTGTCCAAGCCTGGGAATGCCCAAGCCTGAGCACCCTTCCTTGTGTCTCTGCCCAGGGCACCCCAGCCTGGGAGGCCCGATGCAGAGGGTGACACCTCCGAGGGGCATGGCCAGTATTGGGGCCCAGGTAAGGGGTGGCCAACCCATTGGGGGACAGAGAGGCCATACCCTGGATTCCTTCTGTCTTGACGCTTTGCCTCAACAGGGGTACGGAGCTGGCATGCGGCCCCCACCCAGTTCCCTTGCCACCAGCCAGGCCCTGCCGTCCATGAACATGTAAGGCCCTGGGGTACGCTCAGGCTTGTGGTCACCCAGCTAGACCCACTGCTGAGGCAGGCTGTGTGTTCACCGACAACCTGAGCGTTGTTTATTCCACCGTTTAGAGGGTAAACTGAGGACAAAAGTGCCACTTAGCCCTAGGGAATGACGGGTTGCTGGGCCCAGAATGCCTGGCCTGCTGCAGCGCCCCCATCTCTTCCAGGGGTCCGGGGGTGCGTGGCCCGTGGGCCAGTCCCAGCAGTAACTCGGTGAGTGGCAGACAGGGTGACCTGGGGAAGGAGGGCTCGGGCTGGCTGCCTGCCACTGACTGCTCACAGCTGTCGCTGCCTGTTCCCAGATCCCGTACTCTTCCTCATCTCCAGGCAGCTACACGGTGAGTCCCTGCGGGGCCGTGGCGGGACCTGCAGGGTACGGGCTGGGGAAGCCCTGCCTCACGGTCGGTCCCCATGTCTCCATGCAGGGACCCGCAGGAGGCGGCGGTGCCCCCGGAACACCCATCATGCCCAGCCCTGGGGGTAAGGAGCATGCCGGTTGAGGTGGGCGGGGTCCCCCACTCCACACACCCACCCACGCAGCCTCTGCTGTCCCCCCAGACTCCACCAACTCCAGCGAGAACATGTACACCATCATGAACACCGTCGGGCCGGGCGCCGGCAGGGCGAACGTGAGTGGGGGCCGGTGCGCCTCGCCCGACGGGGACCCCGCGGGGGGCGGCCGGCCCGAGCCCCACGCTGCCCTGTGCCCGCAGTTCCCGCTCGGCCCTGAGGGCTCAATGGCCCCCATGAATACGATGGAGCCGCACCACGTGAACGGATCCCTGGGTGAGTGGCCGGGCGCCACCTGGCGGCGCGCGCGCCTTTCCGCCATGGGGAGGGGCGGCGCGGAGCCCCCGCCCCCACGATCTCGGGTGGGCGCTGGCGGAGCGCCGCGCCTCAACCTGCTTGCTGTCTCCTCCCGCAGGCTCGGGTGACGTGGACGGGCTGCCGAAGGTGAGGGCCTGCATGCTGGGGGGGCGGGGGCAGGTGGCCCGGGGCAGGGGACCCGCGCGCTGACCGGCGCCGCCCCCAGAGCTCCCCCGGCGCCGTGGGCGGCCTGAGCACCAACCCGGGGACCCCGCGCGACGACGGCGAGATGGCGGCCGCCGGGACCTTCCTGCACCCGTTCCCGAGCGAAAGCGTAAGCGCCTGCGTCGACTCCCCACCCGCGGCCGCGGCGGGCCGGAGGGGCCTGGCGGGCAGACCCCGGCGGGGCGGCCGCGGGGCCAGAGCAAGACCGTGACCGCGGCGGGCCAGGTGGGGGGGCGGCCGCGGCACCTTCCCTCCTCCCCACCCTTCCCGGGCTCTCCCTGTCCCCGGGAGGGCGGGCCCCAGCCCTGGCCCGAGCTGAGCAGCGCCCGCGCGACGCCCTCTCTCCGCAGTACTCCCCCCGGCACGACCATGAGCGTGTGATAGCCCTGGCCTGAGCCCAGTGCCCTGCTGGGAAGGTCCCGGGTCACGCCCCTGCCACCCGGACTCCTGGCCAGCCCAGCCTGGACGGCCGGCAGGGCCCCCACGAAGGACTTTCTCATTTTTCTAAACACACACACACAGAAACGCAAGGACCTCAGAAAAGTACGGGCCTTCCGACCTGTGTGCTGTCACGGGGCTGGGCCGGGGCCACTGCCAATAAACGCCATTCAGTTTTGTCTTTTTGGTACTGCTGGTGTCCTTCACTTGACCTGTAGCAACGGTCTCAATTCCTGCTCAAATGGGCTGGCTGGAGGTTAAACTGGGAGCCAGCAGTGCAACCTGTTCACTGCCACACTCCTTTAATCCCAGAGGCCAGCCTGAGATACACACTGAGACCCTATAAAATACCACAGGAAGCTTGTCTGCCAAGGACCCTTTATTGTTCTCTTGGGCAAGGTCGGGAGCACAGTGGTTAAGGGGGTGGGGATAGAAGGATCGCCTGGTTCAAGTGGTAGACACCTCTCCCGGCGCCTGCGCGTGCCCATTGGCATCCCCGGTGCAGCCATTGGTGGCAGCAGGTGTGGCCTCCTTCTTGCTGGGCAGTGGGTTGGTGGCCGCCATCTCTGGGTTGATGCCCAGGCCTGGGCGCTCCATCTTGTGCTCTAACAGCATGTGGTTCTGGGGCGGGAGGCCCACACATGCCCTGCAGAGACAGCGCAGGCTCAGCAGGACCACCCAGACTGGATCGCCCCGGGCCTCGCCCTCCGTCAGGCCCACCTGAGAATGTTCTCGATACAGCTACGCTGGCGGAAGAGCGCGTTCACCACCGGGCTGCCAGGGGGGACCAGCGGGGCCTTAAAGAGGAAGCTGAGCACGGACAGCACCGGGTGGAAGCCCTGAGGCTCGGGGTCCGAGTCAGTGAAGAAGCTCACGCGCTGACACAGCTCCGTGAGCAGCACTAGGTCCAGCATGATGGGCGCGGCCAGGAGGGAGTCCTGGAGAGGGGTTGGCGTGGGTGTGATGAGGGTCGCCCACACCTCCCCCCCCCCCCCCCCCCCGCTGCCGGCCGCCCCGCCGGTCACACCTCACAGGTGTTGTGGAGCACCAGGGTGTTGGTCCCGCCCAGCATCAGCTCGGAGGTGTACTCGTCCAGCGCGCGCTTGCTGTCCCCCACGTACGGGACGTATTTGATCACCACCTGTGGAGACTAGCGGGTCACACGCAGCTGCCCCGGGGCCTCCCCACCCCCCCGGCCGCGGGCCTCTCCCCCCTCCCCGGGCCCACGCACGCAGTGGTCTGGCTCCTCTCCAGGTGCGTAGAGCACACGGTTGCTCTGAACCATGTCCTCCACCACGCTGCTCTTCGTCACCTCCTTGGAGCGGAACTGCAGCGGGGCGGACAGGTTCTGCCCGTCGTTGTTGCCCAGGTGGTTGTAGCTCACGATGGACATGGTCTGCGTGATCACAGAGACGGCAGATGCAGCTCTGCCCGCCCAATCGCTCGGCACCCTTGCCAGCCTTCCGCTCCGGCCTACTTCCTCCCAGCACCTCAGGAAGCCCGCAGATACCTTGAGGCCAGAGCCGATGAGGAAGTCCACCAGGACAGACTTGACCTTTGTCTGGCCTGTTTTGAAGTCGTCGCCACCCACGAATACGTGGCGCTGAGAAGCCAGCTCCAGGGCGCCGGGCACCAGTGTGTTCTGGGGGGACCCGTTGAGGAAGGCGCAGCCCTCTAGGATGCTGGCCACGGCAAAGAGTGTGGATGGTGACACCTCTAGGCCAAGCTGAGGGCAGAGAGGCAGTCAGACAAGGCTTCGGGAACGGCCTTGACCCCCAGGGGCCCCGGGGGTGTGCCCACCTGGATGGTACGCAGCAGGTTTTCGGCGGTGTCATTGCGACCCGGGACCACCTCGCAGAAGCGCTCTGTGTTGGCGGTCCACAGCACGATGACCTTGTCCAATCCTGCGCTGGACCGGAAGTCTCGAATGTCCTTCCGGATCTGCTCCAACTGGGAAAGGATGGGGAAGGAATGGCCGCAGGTTCACCGAGGTCACACCTTGTCCAGAGGCTTGGGACACCCAGAACGTGGGTGGGGTGGGGTAGGGAGCCAAACGGAGGGACCACGTGGCCAGTTAACAGTGAACCCTGCCAGCGGGTGGAGGGCCCCACCTGCTGCGCACGTGTGCCAGGGATGAGGTTGTCCGCACGTGCAGTCTGGTTGGTGGCGATGAACTCAGGAATGTAGACGGAGGGCCGCGGACGCAGGTTCTCCATGTGGGGCCAGAGCTGCTCCTGCAGGCCGCAGTCCAGGACCTGCGCGCGCCTCATCGCCTCGGCCAGGTTCAGCGAGGAGATATCCCAGCCTGTACGGCGGCACTCTTACACCAGACCCTGGGCCCTCCCACACACACCCCCACCCGACCCGGAGGCTTCGCCCACCGTCAAACACCAGGTCGTTGGGGGCCACCATGGGTAGCAGCGTAGTGAAGGGTACAAACACTTCCCGGCCGTTCCCATCCAGACCCAGGTTCACAGTGCCCGCCTGGGTCAACGAGCCATAATAGTTTGCCTCCTGGGGGGGATGGCAACGGAACAAGGTATTGAGGGGGGTGGGGCCAGGCTCTCAGAGACCGGCAGATCCCATAGGCCACGCCCCCGCCTCCGCAGGCCCCGGCGCTCGGTTCTGCTCCGGTCTTGAGTGGGGGTTGGGGATCAGGTCACCCACACCTCCTCAACCGGCCCCGCCCCTCGGGGTCCTCCCCATCCTTTCCCCCCTCCCGCATCTACGGCCCCCACCTTGCGACCTGTGCGCGTGGGCCAGGTCAGGCGCAGCCGGTTGGCCAGTACCGCCGCTGTGAGCGTGGAGCCGTTGTTCCCGCCCCAGCCGACCAGCATGACCCCGAGCCGGGGCACCTGCCGGGCGGTGCGGAAGGTGAAGCGAGTAGTCGTGGGCTGCACCTAAGGGTGGGTGGGGAGTGAGTCGCGGGGCCTTGGGCTCCCGCTGTCCGCCGCCGCCCGCGCCCCGCGCGCACCCGCAGCACGGCGCCCTCGCGGCTGACGCGAGTGGTCCGGTACTCATAGCGCGACTCGATGGCCTCGGGGCTGTAGACCACGTCCGGGCTTTCCACCAGGATCTCCGCGGCGGGCTCCATCGCGGCGAGCTACGGGCCAGAGCTGGTGAGCACGGGATCACTACCCGGGATACCGCCCTACGCCCCAGGACAGGACCGCACTCACCGGCTTGGCGTCAGCTCAGACGGCGGTGGGTAACAGCGCGGACCACAGGGCGCGCGGGCAGGAGAGAAAAGCTCTGAGGCCACGCCCAGACCACGCCCATGATGGGCGTAGCTTACAGCCTAGGTTGGAGGTGCTCCGGCCCCAGGTGGCCGGAAGCGGCGTGCGCATTGGCTCGCTGTGCTCCCTCGTACCGTCACGTGGCAGCCAATGAGAGCCGGCCACCGCCAGGAGGGCGGGGCGTAGCTGGTTGAGGGGCCTTTGCGGGGGCCCGGGACCTGGAAGCTGCGCCGCGCGCCTGCAGGCCCCGCCCGCTCCCAACCCCCCAGCCGGGAGCACTGGCCAGCACGGCCTGGCCGAGGGGAGGGGACAGGATGGCCATGCCTGCGTGGCCTCCCCCTGGGCAGGCACAGCGATAAGGAACGTGGGAACCCGGCGGCAGGCGGGGGAGGCGACTCCAGAACTTTCCAAAACAAGCGGCCTCCTCCTAGCGGAAACTTTCCACCGTTGGAGCTAGGTCAAAAAGGTGGACTGTCCGCAATGTCTGCACGGAAGGGAGAAAGGGGCCACATTTTGTGGGTGCCAAGATTTTTTTTGTCGTTGTTTTAGGTAACCTGAACCAGCTCCGAAGGGAAGGAGCAGAAAGGGGGACTGAGTTCATCTCGGTGAAGAGACCCAGGCCGGGTTCCCGGAGGAGGAGGTTGCTGGGAGGGCATTTGATGTGTGAAGAGAAGACTGTTAAGGGAGAACCACAAGCAGAGTGCCCTGCATTCTCCGAAGTAGAACTCAGGGAGATGCAGGGGGCCGACCTGCGGGCAGAGGGCCATAGTAGGGAGCAGGCTGCACATAAAGGCTGCTGGCTCTCTTCTGTCTTCTGTGGTTTACTTCAATAGAAATGGCAGATGATATAATCAGTCTCTTTAAGGTAATGAAACGGTCTTGGTGCCCAACACCTGTCATCGCAGCATTTGGCAGGCTGAGGCTGAAAGGCTGCGATTGGGACATTGGGCAAGGGGCTCAGTGCTGGGCAGCCGGAAAGGCCAAGGAGAGAAAACTCAGTCCCCAGAAGGTGCCTCCTGGCCGACATCCTAGAGCAAGGGAGATGGGGCAGAACGGTAGTTCTGGCTGGAAGGGCCCTGGGAACAGGGCGTGAGCCCTGGGCTCCAGGATACCAATGGAAGAGCATGGCCACTCAGTTCCCAGGTGATGGGTACACAGCGGCCCAGCAGCACCTAGTTCTCCTTCAGCCCGCCCTCTCAGAACTTCTGTCAGAAGTCCGGCCAAGGCTTGGAGGGAGGCCCTCCGTTGGGGCTGCCTCTGGCTCTTCCCTTTGAAAACAAACATGCCGAGACTCTACCTTGAGCTCAAGCCCAGCCTCCACTGTCTGCTTGGACCCAGGGGCTGATGGCGGTGAGCCTACCCCTCAGCCTCCATGGCTTCGGGTGCTGGCTGGACTCTGGCAGCTGTAAAAGGCACATCACCTCGTTTGTCTTTTGTTTTTCAAGACAGGGTTTCTCTGTGTAGCTTTGGCTGTCCTAGAAACTCACTCTGTTGACTAGGGTGGCTTCAAACTCACAGAAATCCCCCTGCCTCTTGCCTCCCTGAGTGCCGAGATTAAAAGCCTGCAGCACCACACACACCTGGCTATAATCACTGGTTTGTTTTTTGAGCCAGGTTTCTGTGTAACCTTGGCTTGGCTTGGCTTGCCTTGGCTTGCTTTGGCTCTCTGTAGACCAGGCTGGTCTTGAACTCAAAGATCCCCCTGCCTCTGCCTCCAGAGTGCTGAGATTAAAGGCTTTCAAGGCATGTGTCACCACACGTGGCTCTTGCTTTCAAAACAGGGTGTCAGGCTCCAGCAGTCTCCCCCCCCCCTCCCTCTGGGTAGAGAGTCCTTCTCAGCTGGCCCCCACACCCAGCCTGCCTGCCCTCATCTCAACACAGGGGCCACCCCACACCCCACAGTGCTATGCACAAGCCACAGCGGAGTTCGAGTCCATCAGGTTTATTATAAACTTTAAAAGCCGGCGGCTCTGCTCACTGTAGAGGACACAGTAAGGCTCTTTCGGCACCACCTCTCCTGTCAATTGTAACGTTTTGGCAAAAGTGAAGACTGTAAACACCAAGTCCATGGCTCAAAGGAGACTTTCTCCATAGTACAGTTCAGAGGCCCGGGGAGACGACCAATAAGTTAGACCATGCTTAGCCTACCAGGACCCCAAGCCCAGAGCGTAGCCCTTCCTTTCCATCACAAATCTCAGACAAGACAACCAAACAGACTAATTCAACAGATAGCCCTGGACGGAGCACTCAGGATGAGAGGGGCGCCCTGGGAACCCCTCCCCCCAGAGCCTGCACACTGCAGGATCTGGCCCTGACCCATATAGGAACCAACAGCTAGTGAAACACAAAGGGTTGGTTTCCTCGAGGGCCTGGGGACTCCAGGGATCCCCAAGGAAAGCTAAGAGCTGGGTATGGTGGGACCCGACCAGGCAGGGGCCTCTAGGAAGTCGGCTCTCTGAAAGCCATCCGGAGACACCTCACGGTTTAAAAAGTACACATCTGTGTTTGCCTTTCTCTCCTGGCCCTGCAGCTATGGGCAGCAGTGACTCTGTGGCCCCCACCACTTTCCCAGAATGGCTTCCCTCTGAATGTGCACAACTCAAACAACTGACACCACTCACACTCACACACAGACATGGACCCAGACAAGCACACACCAATGGCCCCTAGGATCTGGGGTATGAGGAGATGAGGCACAGTAAGAAAGCAGCAATTGGGGGGCCACAGGCCTGCGCCCTGGACAAGGCAAGCAAGGTGTCACCCTCAGGGGTCCCCAAAGTGGGAACCCAACAGGGTGGACCCCAGAACCCACAAATGGATGGAGGGACAGAACAAGGCCAGCAATACAGGACCACACAGCCTCAGTGTGACATGAACAACAGGTGTGTGTAGGGGGCTGAAGACCACATGCTGCTGAAGCCACTGCTGAGGGCTTTGGGCACAGTCAGGAAGCGGCAGTCACCTTGCCAGCTGAGGATCCGAAGGCAGCAAGCCCAGTACTCGCTGCTGACTCTCCCTGGAGCCTCTAACACTGGAGGCGTGGGCTTTGGAGGAGGCACGGAGTAGAAAAGGTACAAAAATAGACGGTCTCTGCGGCAGCTAAAGGGCCGAGTTCATAGAAAACTAGAAAAGGCAAGTGGAGCCACCAGGACTGCCCACTGGCGCTAGGGCCAGGCCTGCAGCTGCCGCTGGTCATACTCTGCGATGAGCCGCTTGATGTGCGCCAGCTTTCGGTGCAGGTACTCACAGCGCCGCTTCTCCTGGCTGTAGTTGGTGTTGGTCTGCGAAGAACAAGGGGCAGGTAAGGCAACATCTACCCAGCGGCCCTAGCCAGGCAGGCTTTCCCCCTCAGCACCTGTTCTGCGTCACGCACCTTTTTGATTTTCCGGTATTCCTGAAGAATCTGCCCACGCGTTGTCTGGGGGTAAACATGGAGAACTAATTATGTCCTACCTGGGGAAGCCCCAGGTGCCAGCCCGCTCTGGAAGGAACCAACTAGACAGGCAGGGCACAGCGTCAGAAAGCACCGTGGCCTTTCGGTAATTCTTGAGCCTGTCTAATGCTCCAGGAGGACAGGCGACATGTGGGGAAACAGGCGGAAACAGCCACATGAGGGAAAGGCAAGTGGATGTCCCAGAAGCCTGTGCACTAGCCCCATTGTTCCTGATTTGGGACCCACCAGGTCACACACCTGACCCTGGCACCCAACCTGGCCCAGGCCCCACCAGAGAAGCTCGTGGCCAAACCCTGTGCATGAGTCCCTGCCAGCTTCGTGCTTGCAGTACCTCGTACTCCTCGGAGCCCTGGCTCAGCTGCCGGAGCTGTGCGTCAAGTTGTGTGAACCTGCGTGTGATCTGCTCGATGCGCGCGTGCAGGCTGCGGTACTCGCTGTATTCAGCGTTGAAGTCGTTCTTGTAGCTCTGACGCTGCTCTGAGGACGAGATGGCTGGGTATTTCCTGAGGGACAACAAGGGTTGCTGGAGCCTAAGGGCCACAGTGGATGGCAGTTACCTGGTCCAGGCAGGGCTTGGCTGGGCCTGGGCACAGCCTAGGCAAGATACTTACACCAAGTAGTCCGGGGTCTCTGAAGAGGATGTGGGGACACTGGCACAGGCTCCATTCACACCTGGAGAGCAATGCACCAAGACCAGCTGGCTAGAGCAGAAACCCACTGTCCAGTCCACAGCCACATAGCCCCGTCATGTCTGTCTAAAAGTGGCCAATAGGCAGGCCCAGAGCTCAGCCAGAGTCTGGCAGCGTGCACCTGCAGTGGGCTGGAGATACAGACCCTGACCCCCCCAGACGAAAGGGCAGGCTGTGCTTCCTCTGACTGCAGATGGATTGCAAACCTTGCTGATACCAGCTTCACTTGAGGCCCCAGTCAGACTCTACTGTCCTTTGCAAGGTGCACACTGGAGGCTGAAGCAGCCAGGAGGGGTCCTCCTCACAGTCTCCCAGACCAAACCTAGCATCAGCTGCTGGAGCCTCGGAAGGGTAATCAAGGTGCAGGCAGAGCCTGGGCACGAGGCTGCACACCAACAGAACACTACTTTCCAGCCATCTGCTCCATTTACTTGGCTTTCTGAAACAGCGTCGCTCTGGAGCCTGGGCTACCTGGATGGCTACACCTGCTGCTTCCCTGGGCCTGCAGTACACCCTGTTCCAACCACATGCTCAGCCTAGCCCACTCCTGCTTTAGGACCCCACACAAGCCATGTGCTGGTGCACAGGACATGGGCCCAGAGTGTGAAGCCCTGGCTCTGTCCACAAAAATTAAAACACAGGAGGGAGGCTTGGGAAACCTGCTAAGAATGGCACTGCAGCATAGAGACTGCCTGGGAGTGGGCCTAAGGCATGTGACGAGGCCTGCTGAGCAGGAGCAAACTTAGCCCAAGCTCTGGACCTTGCTGGACAAAGGAAAAAGGAGTGTCCTGTGTGGCATCGGCTGGATCTGACACCTGGAGCCCACCCGTGTCTGTAATCTGTCGCAGGTGAGCACTGTGTCTGGGCTGTCACAGGTGGGCGTTGTGTCTGTGATGTGTCCAGGTGTGTGCTTATCTGGGCTCTTGTGTAGAGGTGTGCACTGTCTCTAGCTGGGGTAGGGCTGTGGCTCCCTGACCACCTAGAGTGCCTCTGTCAGATGAAGCTCTCCCAGCTTGGTGGTGGCTGCCTCTCACAGACAGCTCCTAGCAGGTGTGGCAGCCAACTTCGGGGCCTGAAGTGGCCCCTCCTCCTCTCAGCCGGCTTTAAGCAGCTCTGGGTGCCTGGGGAGCATATACAGTCCTGGGTGTTCAGAGGGTCCTCCTGACAGCTTAGGACTCAAGGACACAGGCAGCACAGAGCCTGTGACACCATATCCTGGACACAGAGGTCCCCTCTCAGGGTCTTCTGACACAAAAGGTTCTGTCTCACTTCTCAGTGTCCTCAGGTCCCAGCCACCTTTGCTCCCTGGGCTCAGTGCATCTGTCTGTGCCTTGCTGACTCCCACCCTGGATATGGCTGTTTTCCTCTCACTCTCCCACTGCCTCTCTGGCCCAGGGCTTGCTCAGTGCTCCCAGCAAGCACTGCTTTCCATGGTACCCCTGCCTGAGTGCTGCAGCCCTCAGGCCCAAGCACGGAGCTGGCTGGCTGGTGTCCTCCTGACCCAGTGGTGTCCTCACAGCAGAGGCTCTGATAGACAGCCAGGTGGCACTGACCTGGGGCTTCTGGGGGCAGCACAGGGGCGGTGGGTGCATCAGGCTGCGGGGCGGGGGGCTTGAGCTCAGGGGGCCGCTCCTTGTCTTTGTGCTTCTTGGACTTCCTCTTGGGCCGGCTATGTGTGTGGGAGGAGCCAGCCGGTCGCTCAGAGTGGGAAAAGTCCGTCAGCAGGGGCTGACCAAGGTGTGGGCCTGGGGCTGGGGCGGCCTCCTGGTGCTTGTAGTCCTGGGTACTGTGGCCTAGGTCATTGCTGACATCGGCCAGGGGGTCATGGGTCCTCTCGGGCTCCAGCCGTGGGGGCAGATGGCTAGGAGCGAGGATTTCTGTGGGAGTGGGCCCTGGTGTGGGCAGGAGGGTCTCGTGGCCATTGGGGGTGCCCAGCTTGCCATTGAGGGTGGGCTGTGCTCGCTGGGTAAAGTGTGAGATCCGGGGCTTCTTGCTGGCCAGGGGGTCGATGAAGTCTGCATGCTGTGACCGTTTCTGAAAAGCAATGGGGACTAGGCTGAGCAAGAAGCCTATGGGAAACAGTAGCCACCCACAGGATCTGCTGTGCCACATGGGGGCGCCAGCGCACAGCTGGCCACCCTCAGGAGAAGCCAGCAGGACAGGAGGTGGGAAGGAAAGCCCCTGCACAGGATTCTGCAGACACACCCCGCCCCCAAAGGCAGAAGTGGGCTCAGCAGTGGACACTGGCCACAAAGGTTAGGACCCACACTAACCACCCAAGGTGGGTACCTGAGAGGGTGAGGCCGAGCGCCCATGTTCTCGGGGTGGGCTGGAGTCTGTGGTGGCACTCTGCGGCTGGCACAGCTTCCTGCAGAGGGGTGGCAGAAGCATGATGGTGACACTGCCATCGGGACTATGTCTATAGCCCTAGGGACTATGTCTGCACAGAAAGGGCCCAGTTCCCAGAAGCAGCGCTGGGCTGTGTTCAGGGCAGCTGCCAAGAAGAGCTCGTGCGGGCCCTCAGAGAGAACTCCTGCTCTGAGCCCAGGCATGATACCAGGATGGAGAATGGCCAGATAGGAACACATACGCTGCCTGCAGCACACCAGGACCCCATCAGCACAAATGGCTGTGTGTCAGCTGTGGCCTTGGGTGTGGTCCCTCCCACCAAGATCTGGCAAGTGAGCAGCCTATGCTCATTACTCACTTGCCTCTGCCTGCACCACTCACACTGGTGAAGCACACCCTACCTGTGGAGCAGTGACAGGCCTGGTGTGGACACTGCCAGCACTTGGCTGAAGGTGACCCTGGCAATGGGGCACACACATTAGCACAGTAGTTGTGGAGGGTGGAGAGAGAAGGAGGGTCAGGAGTTACAGCCTGCATGGTCTCTTGCAAGACCCAGACTCAAAAAACAGAAAAGAAACCAGGCACGGTGGCGCTTGCCTTTAATCCCATCACTTGATCACTTGGGAGGCAGAAGGAGGTGGATCTCTGAGTCTAAAGCCAGCCTGGACTACAAAGTGAGTCCAGGACAGCCAGGGCTACACAGAGACACCCTGTCATAAAAACAATAAATAAATAAATAAATGAATGAATGAATAAATAAATAAATAAATAAATAAATAGATAGATAGAAAGAAAGGAAAGAAAAGACAGAGAGAGAGAGAGAAAGAAAAGAAAAGAAAAGAAGGAAAGAAGGAAGGAAGGAAGGAAGGAAGGAAGGAAGGAAGGAAGGAAGGAA